CTTATAGATAAGGGATGGGATACAGGATGAAGAGATATCTATTTAGTCTTATAGGGGGTGAAGAGTTATTAAATGTGTTTATACTTAATGTGATGAAGGTTAGATATCACTTCTTTATATTTTTTTTCTTTATTCTTTTTTCTTTTTTTTTCTTTTTTTCTTTTCTTATACTTTTTATTCTTTTTTTCCATTCTCTTTTAGTTGGTATTAGTTTTTACTATTGTAATTAAAATTCTTAATAAAAGTTAAATTAAAAAAAAAAACTTTGCAGTGTTCTTCCATATCCAGTCAGGGTTGAAATCAATGATGCTTTTTAGATCAGCTCAATCTAATATCATTTTCAACCTGTATAGTCTAAGCAAAATAGGTTAATCTTGCTTGGGAAATTTCTACTGGAAACACTTGAATGAAAAACAGGAAGCATAAATCTAGGCTCCATAACCGAGTTCTACCAGTTTACACAATATTTCAAATATTTCATTTCTTAATTTCAATTTTTTCTCTTTATAGGTGTTCTTTTGTTGGAAAGAATTAAACAAATGAGAAACATGCAAATAATAGTAACAACAAGAAACACAGCTGTTAACAACAGTTTTGTTTTTTTTTAAGTTGCCTGATACTGCAGTTTCATAGTGTTTGCTAAGGAAAAGAATTCCATGCCATAATTAACAAGCACATTGCTTCAGGTGTCAACCATGTTGCCTTAGGCAAGGGTAGTGAAGGAGAGTTTGTGGCTGCCCCAGTGTCCACATTGCATTTGGAAGGTGCCAGGCTGGAGAAAGCTGAAGAAATTGAATTTCAAACCAGATTTGATTCAGCTACTGAACGTATATATTGTTTGCCTGTGACTTGCAGCTGAGAACATCAGACAAACATCTTCAGCAGCTCTGTGCTGCTTAGCGAATGATCTTACCTGTTCTCACTCAGGTAGCTTAGGATGCAGCAGATGAACTCCCCAGGAGAGACGAAATAGGGTTGGGTTTGACTACTAGTAGAATGCACGCATTCTGGTTCTTTATTCAGTATTGCTTGATTAGTAAAAAGCAAATGTAGTTTTATAATTGTTCCAAGCAATCTCTCTTCTGCTCAGATAGGGCCACATCTTACTAATAGCAATAGCATGACACTGTCTGATGGCGGGCTGGGTCCTGGGTATTTCAGCTGTAGCTGCTGAAGGCAGAATTGAGCTAAGATAATCCCATTAAAGCTGCAATCTGTCTTTGCCTGACACTTTGCCTTTCTTCCAGTGCAATCCAGATGTTTGGATGATGCCTTTGCCTTGTGGAAACAGCTCCTGTCAAAAGGCAGGATCCCGGCTCTGCGGAGCATAGAGCAGACAGCAGCTTCCCTGCATATCATGGCAGCTTTATACAGAATGATGGGAAAGGTATTAAGTGCTGGGCATTCTGTCAGGGCATTTTGTATAGCTTGGCTTGGCCCCTTCAGCTTCCTTGAGGCTCACTCTGATCCTCTGAAAGATGGATCATCTCTTGTCTGTTGTGTGTTGTTCACAAGCATGCAGTTTAAATTGCACACTTTGTATTGCTAGGCTAGTGAAGGAAGGAGTGGAGAATCTTTGGCCTTCCAGCATGGCCAGTGAGGAGGGAGGCTGGGAATTATAGCACAAGAGCTGTTGCAGCTCTGCAGGTTTCCCAGACGGGGTGGAAATGTTAATGCTGGTTGCAAGAACTAAGTCAAAATGTACAAAGGAGTTGAGGGAGGTATATTAGCCATAGAGCAATCTTGAAGTACAGGTAATCCTCATTTAGCAACCCCAACTGGTTCCAGTGAAATGGTCACTAAGCAAGCCACATGACAGAGAGGGCTGCAAAGATCGCTGGTTGCTGCTGTTGCATTTAGATAAAGTTCTCTCATGCAGCAACACCAGTGTTACTCTCACTCCTACGTGTGGTGTTGTCAGGCACAGAAATTTGGGCGCAAGTGCGGGCATTGGTTGGAAAATTTATTATTTTACTACCGTTTATTACTGTTGTATTTGCAAACAGTTGCTATTCAAGGCAGTTGCTAAATGAGGACTACCTATAGTTCCATCTGTAGCATTAATCTATACTTGTTCACCCACTGGCTATAATAAAAGGATGTGGCACATAATATAATCATGTGGCATCTCTAGATAGCTCCTCTTGACCTCCAGATTTTTTTAAATAAAAATATCTAGAATCTCTGTAGCATTCCATGACATTTTGTGAGTTTGTAGCTTTCCACAATATTCATGCTTTTAAAATACTTTGATGCCACAACATCACGCAGTGGGAACACCAGTCAAAAAGGTTTTAAAGCCTTATCAAAGGAGGTGGCCGATGCTTAGAATTGCTATCTTGGAAATTACTGGCTTTCCAGTTTCTTGCTGTTGTCCCTTTTCCTTGCACTTCTTTAATTTTCAGTGTAGGAACAGTATCAAAAGTGGGTGGCGCAGCTTTCCCAAAGCAAGTACATGCAAGCTTTCCAAAATGTTGAGTCAGCTTTTTGAATGAATTCTTGCAGGGGAGTGAAATGTGATATATGTATGCTAATTCTCTTCTGGTTTCTGTTCTGTCCAGATTTATGTCTGAAATCAGTGTAAAAGTTTTTTCCCCATCACAAAGGAAGCAGAGTAGATGGCTAGCCGGTGACCAATGGCTATGGCAGCTTTATTGGGAAGATAATGGCCATAAAATTGTTAATAAGGTGCTAACAGCACACTCTTTGTTCAGTTTCAGTGAAAGGAGAAAGGGTTTCCCTCAGTACGCTGTATACATTTGCTTGCTTTGTAAGCTTATGCACTGGCTGGATGATCAGACTTGCAACTTCAGTTTGTTTCTTGTCCAGGGAGAATTGGGAAGAATAGATTATTCAGCTCCAATAATAATTTCCAAACTGCATATCATTTGAGCTTATGCACTTTGAATCTAGGACGATCTTTCTGTTTAAGCCAGTGTTGTCCAAACGTGGCCACTTTAAGATGAGTGGACTTCA